AGGGGGCAACCTGGGGTTCCTGCTCACCTTGTTAGTTTTCTGTCTTTTGTCATTGCTGTTGTTTGCTGTAATTATGCATCTTTCAAGACTGCCTTGCAAAAGTGCTCCTATGGAAAAGTTTTAACGTTGAAGCTAAAGCTTCTTCTAACCGGGAATCAGAGTCGGTCTCCCATGTCAGTGTGAAGGCCTCTGCCTTGGAGGCAGTGGGGGTCCCGCTTCAGCGTCCTGCATTTTCTGCACGTCTGGCGGACAGTGGGGACTCTCAGCTCCAAACCGAGAGTACAGCTCTCGGCCGCCTCTGCTTGCCCCGTGGCCGCCCCCCCTTGCGGTTCTCGTCCAGATCCTGGAAAGCTTAGCGTTCTTTCCGGAATAAGATCTGTGTATGAATGTGCTGCTCTGAACCGCATGGCAAAACTGAGCTCCGTTTTTGTTTGAACTGCTGTGGGGGGCGGCCCATCCATGCTCAAACCTCGAACGGAGGAGCCAGGAGTCGGGCGTGAGTCCTGATTTTGCTGTGAGCTGTGAAAGTGGTCATTGCTTGACGATGGGGTTCGGGCGGTGGCGATTCAGTGTCAATGCTTCCACCACACATGTCCTGTGTCAGGAATGATTAAGCAGTTTCTTCGTGACGTGGACTGGGGTGACGTGGACTACCTCATTGTCGACACACCTCCGGGGACTTCGGACGAGCACCTGTCAGTGGTGCAGTATCTCGATGCCGCTGGCGTGGACGGGGCAGTGATCATCACCACCCCGCAGGTAAGGGGCCGGAAAGCGCGTGTGACACAAATCCAAAGCTGCTTCATTCGTCATGTCCAAGAACCAGGCGCATTCAGTCTCTGACGTGCGGGTGGGCACCCGGCATGCGAAGGAGCTGGATCCAGGTTCATACGTACAATGGATCGTTCCCCAGGGTGCCGGCTGCAAAGGCTGGGGTGGCTTAGAGCACAGGATCCCATGCCAGGTTGCGCCCTGGCTGCGTCATACCCTGACGCACTGCTGCCCCGGCTCCGAAGCATATCCTGATTGAAAGCACGCAGCCTTTTCTGTTGGTTCTCAAGAGTCCAGCCAAAAGGTTGCACAGGTGAAGAGGAGGGCAAGGAGAAAAACCCGTGCCGGAAATGTTAGGGAGCGGTGTGGAGAGGGGATTTGAAAAGGGCTGCTGGCCAGGGGTTGGGGGGAGCTCCAGCGGAGGCGGGTGGGGGGGTCACGTTCAGGTGGGGAGAGCTCTAGGCTCGGCCCGTGAGCAGGTGGGGAGGGTTGCAGAAGGATTCTGGAGAGTTCTGCCGGCATTCGAAACCTGGGGCACTTAAGCATTTTTGGCCAGGCCAAAGGCGTTCTAGCTTCCCCGTTTTCCATCTGTGTGTTTGGAAGGGTTGGATGTGAAGCGCTTCCCAGCGACCACGGGGCCCCACGCTGACATTCTATCGGGCTCTCGCATGTTCTTTTTAACTAGGAAGTGGCTCTTCAGGATGTGCGAAAAGAAATAAACTTCTGCCACAAGGTGAAGCTGCCGATCGTGGGGGTCGTTGAAAATATGAGCAGCTTCGTATGCCCCAAATGCAAGGTGAGGTTTCACGGATACCTTTAACGCGCCACAATCCTTAGGCAGAGCTGCAACACTGCTTCGATGCGGTGCCGCCTTGCCCCAGTCAAAACGTCTTGCTCCCGTATCTGACGTGGGTTCCAGGCCACGGTGAAGGGCCCACCGCTGGCAAGCCACCCGCGTTCTCTGAGCTGCTCCTCGTCCCCGTTAGCTCTGCAGCCTGCACTCCATGCCGAAGCTTGTGCGCCTGAGCAGGCTGGCCGTGATCAGGGCCACCTCCTGTTCTGGCCCGACCCAACACTTGGGCAGCACTGGAGCGCCGGGTGATTAGAATTGCTCCCGGATAATTGCACCGGAGTGCCGGTTGTAATCCGCTGGTGCTTCCTCCTGGCAGCAAGATGCTCACGACTTTGGAGGAAGGGCTTGGTTTCTGTTTGCCCAGGGCCATGTGTAACGCTGCCTGCCTTTTACAGAAAGAGTCCCAGATATTCCCCCCAACCACCGGAGGCGCAGAGGCGATGTGCCGTTCCTTCAACGTGCCTTTCCTGGGGAAGGTGCCTCTGGACCCTCTCATAGGTAACGTCACCTGTCGGGGCTCTTTGTGCGTCTGCTCGTCTCGCGCTCTGTGGTGTGACCTGCTCGCAGACTTGGCACGAGACGGTGCAGTCTGGCAGGAACGGTGCCTTAACCGGCTTCGTCAGAGCGGGAAGGGAAGAGGGCCTGAGCATCCGAAAGCCTGGCATTCCTATCCTTTGGCTGGGCTTGGCTCAGCTCTTCTTTCCCTCGCCCCTTGCAGGAAAAAGCTGTGATGAGGGACACTCGTTCTTGGCCGAAGCACCCAATTCTCCAGTGACGATATCCTACCGGAATATCATCCGCAGTAAGTTCAGCTTCCTGGAACGAGCTGGCAGCAGCTCAGTTTCGTACTCTCCATATTTAAGCTACACCCAAGCGTGTCACAGCCTGGGGGGTGGGGGGGGCCTGCAGCCCTCTTGCTGTGACTCCAGGTTTCAAAAGGTTTTTCTCTAGTCTGCGTTCACATCATGCAGATACGGAGTTCCCACAGAAAGGCAGCGTGTGAATTGTTTGCATCAGATGAAGTAATAAAGCTGGCTCAGTTCTCGGGGCCGAACGGCTGTCCCGAGTCCGGGCAGCATTCACACCGCCGCTGTTCTGAATCGAGCCAGAAGACGGTGCCGGGCTGTCGCTTCTGTTCCTGTCACATCTCGTGAAGGGGTGCTGGCTTTGGGGTGCTGAGGCCGTTTGCAGAGAACAGCGTGCGTTAGTCTGCCACTGGGGGGCGCACTCCACCATGAAGAGCGCCACATGGGGCTCGTTCGCACGGGAGCCTCGTTAGCCCGGCGGACCGTGCCTGGCCTCCCAGACAAAATGGCAGCACTGCATTTCACCTCGCCGTGTCTCTCTCTGCAGAAATCCAAGATTACTGCTGCCAGCGCCACCCACGAGAAGACAGTAACACTTGAGCAGCCAGTGGGACTCGGGGGAATCATGGGGAAGCGCTGATCGCCTGATGCTAGCCTGCGCAGGAGTAATATCCAGCCTTTACCTTGCAAATAAATGTGTTTGCGTACTTAGCCCTGGCCTGAGTGGTCTGTTTAGGGTAAGGCCTGGGATGCTTGTGTCTTTCAGAGCAGACGCGGTCCTTGCCGCAAGGGGCACGGCTTCCCGGTCGCTCCAGGGTTGCCTCCGCTGGCGAAACAGACAGGCAGAGACAGGTAGGGGTGACTTTAATGAGAAATGCGCACATCTCCTTCCATGTCACTTCCCCGTGCTTGCTTCTAGCCGCTCCGGTTCTGTTCTTCAGGTGGGCCGACGGTGTTCCGTGTTGATGCCACAGGCCCCCTTTGGCTCTCGCTGCCTCTCTAGAAAGGACGCGGAACAACACAATAGTCCTCTGAGAAAGAATGAGCCCGCGAGCACGCTTCTGCGTGTGTTGCATGCAGTGGGCAGCGTTTCTCCGTCTGGGTTTCAGTTGGCGCATTTCTGCATGATGAGGCAAAGGCCCCAAGGACAAAACCCGCCCCTCACCCCGTCCCCGGCCGCTTCCCAGGGAAGCAGGTGCAGCAGTCCCTTTGCCCAGTTTACCCAAGACCAGAAAACCCACGGGGCCCCGTATCTCCTTTGCTGGCCACGTAACCAGGCCGAAGTCGGCACTGGGTCCCCCAACATGCAGTGCCACTCAGAGCGGCACAAAGGGAAAGGTGCAACCGGCCCGTGAGGGCGAGAGGCAGCCCGGCTTGCTCAGACGCCCCCGGCAGTTTGCCGAGGCTGCTCGGCCCTGCCGGCAGCGCCCACAAGCCCCGCTCGGGTTTGGTGCGGTTGGCAGAGCTGCAGCGGGAAAGGCTCTGGCCAAGGGCCCTGAGGGCTGCCGGTTGTGGAAGCGAGGAAAGGTTTCAATTCCTCCTTCGCAGCCAGCGCTGGCGGACTTCGTGCTCGGGATGAGCTGGCAGGAGGGGCGTGTTGCCGGTCATGTGCCCTCCCAGGAAGATGGCAGAGCGGTGCCTGGCTGCGCCGGTGGTGATGCCGTTGACGCCCCCGGCCTGCACACAAGGTGTGAACAAACGCCTCGCCGCGCTCAGCTGCTGACGCATCTGGTTTTTTGAAACGGAGCCCGGTTCTTGTTCGTGCGGGGATGGTATTTTCAAACGTGTCCTACCAGCCCTTGTTTCTCATTTCGCTCCTTCAGTGGTTTCGCGTGCCCATCCCCTTCAGAACGGTCTTCGGAAATTCCTCCGGCATCTCCTGCAAGATGAAGCGCTGCCTTGCGTCTTTGCCCTGGCAGTTGGCCTTGGCGGGACTGAGGCCGCCCATGAGCGAGCGGGCGGGTGGGCGGGCGGGCTTTGGCAAGGCTTGCCGATGCATTCGGCTGCCCCTCCACCTCACTGTCCTGCCTTCCTCCTGCGGAGAAGCCGCATCGCTTGATCCCTCCCTCCTCGGCACAGAAGCGTGTTGCTTTTGCTCACTCAGCACCAGCCGCTGCAGCTGTTTCAGACCATTTGTCCCTTTTTGCCCACTCATCCACCCCCCCAGCCAAGATGCAAACCTTTTCACCCCCACGAAGGCTCTAAGACTAATCCTCCTCCTGCTTTCTGGTGGAAGGCGTGCATGGTCCCCCCTTGTGTCCGACTCCAGCCAAGCAAGGCTCTGTCCAGACTCCCTGCCTCACCGGCCCCCCTTCTGGAAGTCAGCGGTGTGAGCTGCGTGGCCATGGAGGGTGCCAGGGGGCGGCAGCGAGAGTGCAAGCCAAGGTCTCCCTCAGCCTTTCGGGGAGAGCGGCAGCTCCCTGCTGTCTCCGTGCCCCTTCCTTGCTCTCAGGGTGATGGACGCTCGGGATTCCTTCCGTGGCTGAAGAAACTGCGCTCCCTTTACTGCCCTTGGCCACGGGCCCTGCCTCGCCTCTGGCGCCTGTTCCATACTTTGCCTTCCTGTTTTGTTATGACCGCCAAATGTCGAAAGTCCAGTGGATGCTGGCAGATACCGCCCGCTGCGAAAGGCATGAACTGGTTGGGACTTGAGTGAACAGGCGTGAGGGTTTCTGGAATGCTTGTGCTGGAGTGGCCCTTCCTACCTGCTGGCCGGCTGGGCAGCCCTGGAGTGGCAGGCAGAGGGCCCCACATTCCGTCCCGCCTGAGGCCCCTGGAGGGCCGCCGCTGCTGCCCGTCTGCGCGCCAGCTTGGCTGCGGGCTGGGTGGGCCACGGGCCTGATGCGGAGCCAGGCGGCTCCCTGCTCTGCAACCGGGGATCTCGGACTGGTATGGAACAGCGGCAGCCTCCCCGGCCCCTCCGCGCCTGGGACGGTGCCCGAGCAACTCACCCGCGGGAACATCTCCTGTGCCGGAAACCGCGAGGCGGCCTTGTGCCTGGCTTGAGATCCCCCGAGCTTGCAGTGGATGTAGCCGTAGAGGTTGGCGGCTTGCAGGCAGATGCCGGCTATCACAAGGGCCTGCAGCAAAAGAGCAAACGACAGCAGTGGGATCCCACTGGGTCGCTCCGCAGCCCTGGCATTCTCTCGGGCGCTTTAGCTGGGGCCCTGGAGATGCTGGAAGACCGCAAGCTGCGTGGGGTGCGGAGCACGGTCTGTGCGGGTCGTGTTCCGACTGGGGGCACTTGCGATGCCAGCCACGCTGCGCAATCCTTTCTCTAGTCTGGGCAAAAGTCTGCGAGCGTTTGCCCCCAGCAGGGTGGCCGAGCAGCTGCCAAGTGTGAAGAAGGCCTTAATCTCCATGGCCAGGGGCCTTCTTTACGCAGGGCAGAATAGCTGAGCCTCAGCCAAAGGGCAGAGGGTCTGGGCGTTGCCCTGGGGCAGCTTTCCATGATCTCTGTCTCGCAGCTTTGCAGACGAGCAAGCACGGTCTATCAGACAGACGTCAGGATCGCTGGAATCCGAGCTCCGCGTGTTTTCTCACAGCGCATTTTTAGCCTGCCTGCTCTGCCCGGATTTGATCGAGCGTGGTGAAACGCCGCCGGGGTGTTTGTGGGTGGGGAGGCGGCAGAGCCGGAAAGGAGGGGCACTGAAAGGTGAAAAGAGCGCTGAAACTTCCTCCCAGCCTCCTTGGCCGGGGGAATCAGCCTTCCTGCTAACTTCCTGCTAATCAGCCTTCCTGGAAGATTGGCCCTCAGCTGCAGGGTCTCCTATGCATCATCTCAACACACCCTTCGTGGAATGAGAGCAACATCTGCTGAACGAGATTCTCCAAGAAACGCTCCTCCTTTCCTTTGGCCCTCCTTGCTTTTGGGAGAGCACCGTTCCCGCCCTTACCAGCCACTTCAGCTTCAGCGAGAACAAGGTGCTGAAGAAGAAGAGAGTCCAGATCGCCGGGCAGATAATCAGTCCCAGCCAGAATATCCGCGCTTCCACCTCCGTCGGGGCAGCTACGTTGGGAGGGACCTGACAGAAAGAGAAAGAGATCAAGTTCAGTTCCTGTGGTGGACGGGCAACTCAATCTCTGCAAAAGAGAAAACCACAAACAATTCAACTGAAATGGGAACAAATTTAAAATACATCCAAATTCTAGAGAAATGGATTCATTTCCTCAAGCTGGCCTATCAACTTTCTTAAAATGTGGTATCCTGACAGATGCTATGTTGGTCTGAAACCTTCGGCAAAACAGTGCACCAAATTCTTCACAATGAAACGGATCAGATGGAAGGGCGCACACAATCCCTGACTGTTTGTCTGGTATCTAAATTCTGGGACTGAACAAGTCACGCCATTCGTGGCAGAGCAGTTTCAAACTGCTGCTCCATCGTGGATGTCTTGAGGCAGGGAGTACCCTAAGCTGCCTTTGTATTCAAATGCGTTCTTTCTTCCTTTTTGGGAGAACCTGCTGCCCTCTGTTGGCTTGCACTAAGCTCCAGTATAAGCCGAAACTCTGGCCGTCCACTTCCTCTGCATCTTTCATTAATTTGTAAACCCCCATTATACTTCCATAAATAAACCGCTTACATGGTGAAGATACCCAGAGGCAAGTAGGGTGATGAGGATGAGGGTCTGACAACCAAAACATTTTCCAAGAATCAGGTGTGTTGACTGGGAAAGTGTTTGCTGCTCATGAGATATTTCCGTAGCAGAAAATTGGCTAAAGAGAAGCTCACCTTCTTTGCTTCATATACCCAGTGGCTTTTCCCGTCCTCATCGATCTGGTTCCACCATCGCAAGCCCACCAGGAGCCTTCCAGTGACGTTCTAATGGCGCAAATAAAACCAGCCGACGTGTCAGACCGGGCCATGCCTTATGGATCAGCCTGAATGTCAAGTTTTATTTCTGGACTGCGGAAATGCACCAAGTCCAGACAACATGGCTGCGTCGGGAGAGCGGCCAGACCCCCTTCCTCTTCTCGCCGCAGTGGCAGAGAGCCGGGCTCTCGAGCCGGGCTCTCTGCTGGCAGCAGCGGCTGTTCGGCAGTGGGAGGTGAGCTGGGCCGTGGTACCCTCGAGCTGACTTCGCCCCGTCTAGAAGGTGCAGGACCATGCACCATGCTGAGAATGGGCACAAAGAGTTCGGCATGGCGTGTGAGGTCCCGCCCATGCACCGGTGGGCGATTTCACAAGGCTCTAATCAGCGCCTGAATTGGCTTCTTCCCTCCCTCCCTCCTCTCTTCCCTGCACCCGCCTTTCCTTTTAAGACATGCCTTTCAGGCCGAAGGCAAGCGTTATTTTACTTCTGAAGTGTGTAAGCCGCTCTGGGAACCGTTTTGACTGAAGCGAAGGCTTTAGAAACACGGCTATTCGTTGCTCTTGCACTGAGATCCCTCCATTTCCGTCCTGAGAAGAACCCAAGGCGGCTGACCAAGGTGCGTCCCCATTCGATCCTTACAGCGACCCCGTGAGTTGGGCGAGGTGGGGAGGGGTGATGGCCAGGCACCACTGGCCCGTGGACTTCGTGGCCAAGTGGGCTTGAACCTCAGCCTCCCGAGTCCCAGTCCAGAACGCTAAGCACCCCCCGTACCTCTCCTGAATCAGCAGGACCGGCCCTTTGAGCAGGAAAACGTGCGACCCACGCGGGCAGGTTCCAAGGCCGCCGCAGGCCAAGCCTGAGGAGGAGGAGGAGTGAGGCCGAGGGATGGATGGCATCCCTGGATGCTGTGTTCATTCGGTCATGCCTTCCTCCCATCAGCCTCCTGGGTGAGCAGCACACTCCGGCCCCGGGATCAGGGGAACGGAGGCTCCCCGTTCTGCCTCTGCGCGAGCGGCTGCTTGCTCCGCCCAAGAGCCATCCTCGGAATGCCGACTCGGGCAGAGGTGCAGCTGGCCTGAGCCATCAGCTTGGCCGATCACGGGGCTGCCTGCGCAAAGGCTTCACAAGACCGGCCTGGAGGCGGCCCTTGAAGACTGACCATCTTACTGTGATGGTCGAAGGTCTGGTGGATTCGTGGATGTTGCTCCAACGGAGTGAGCCAAGACTTGCTTTGTGGGTGTTCTGGCAGCAGGCCTTCCCAAGGTGGCTTTTGTGGTGTGTGAGCCTCGCACCAGGGAATTTTATGCGGCCTCATAACCCATTGCTCTTTTTTCCTTCCAAGGAAAAATGATGCAGGGAAAAACCAGTGGGTGTCCTCATGATGCCCTCACATAGCTCCCCGTAACTCGCCTCCTTCTGACACACGTGTCATTTAAAAATGAGCGGGGCTCTTGCCTTTATCCATATGCAAGCTGGACCCAGATGACTCAATCTCTTAGGTTCTTTGAACTGGGCTGCCCTCCCAGAGTTAAAAAAACCAGCGTTCCAGGAGTGACTCCCTGGGATTTTGGGGGTGTCCATGGTTCTGTGAGCAGGTCAGCTCTGGAACTGGCCACATCAGTGGACAAAGGTGGCACCGGGGGGGGGGCAGCCCAGCGAGCACGTACCTTCACGGACCAGAAGTCGAAGGAGAGGAGGAGGAGGGTGACGACGAAGCAGGCGATGAAGCTTTTGCTGAACCAGTCGCAGAACACGTAGGTCACGATGGCGCTCACACGGAAGAAGAGGTGGAAGAAGGTGGCCAGCGGGTGCCTGCGGGGAGCGGGCCGGGGGGTGAGCAGCTGCAGCAGCCCTTCCCCGGGGCAAGCCCTCAGGCCGCCCAGCTCAGGGTCGTGCTTACGAAGGGGCAGCCGCCCCAGGGCTCTGGCAGGCCTCCCCCAGATTCTCTGCGTTCTGTGTGCGGAGATGGCACAGCAGCCTCCCCCGCCGGTGGCCCCCGACTCCCGAGCCTGCAGCACCAGCCGGTGGGCCGGCGCCACAGCAGGGCGGAGGAGACCATGCAGGGGCTGCCCCTTGCAGCATCCTTAAAAGGCCCTTCCCACGACTCTGCGTCTTTCCTGCTCTGTGGGGCTGAATCGCTGCTGTTCTCCATCCCTGAAATGTTTGAAATTTCAGAAAGTGAGCAAAAAGCGTTTGGTTCCCCACCGGCCTCCTGCGTATGAAGGCTCGGGGAGCACCCGGCACTTAAGGGGAGGGGGGCCTTCTGGCACCTTGGGTGTTCAGTTTGCTTGAGAACCCTTGCGAAAGGCACCGTGAGCTAAGCCGCTGCTTGGAGTGTGCGCTGCGGTGCTGGTGGCCGCTGTAGGCTTCAGGTGTTTCATGGGCCGCCTGCAGCTTACTGGAGAACCGTTGCAGCCATTCTGCATTTTGCATGTTCTGCGCGTCGGCTCGGAGCTTTGTGGTCCGGGTTCGTGTTTTGGCGGGGAAGGCAACTCGGAGCAATCCTGTGTGTCACTGTATGGCGGTCCCAGAGCAGAGGGCGAGGCATCGAAGGGGCCTGAGCTTTGTGGCCAGAGGTGGACGTGTCCAGGTATCGGGGGGGGGGGGGGTGTCATTCCAGGTGCTTCTGTGCAAATGCCAAGAGCGCCTGAGCTACGCCGCGAGAGGCAGAGGGCCTGGTTCTAACGGAGAGGCCAGATATGCTGGGCGGGAACAGGGGGGCCGTGAGGCAGGAGCATCTTCGGATGCAGGCTGTCTGGGAAGGGCAGGACCGTCTGTGCGCAAGGAGCGCGCTTCGCGTGTCGGAGAGAGCACTTAGTGTTGAGCAGACTAGAAAAAGAGTGGCTATTTCAGGCTGTGAGTGGCTAATTAGATCTGGAATGCTAGAACCGTCTAAGAAGGTATGCGGAAGCCCACTGGAGGACGCCGCTGTAAAACCCCCAAATTCAGAATTAGGAAGACCCCAGACTTGCATTCCACACCCTGACCCATGGGGAGGAAGAGCATGGAATGGTGCTTTGATGGCTTTATGATGCGTCTAACGAAGGCTCAGAAGGACTGGCTTTGAGAAGAAGGGAAGGAGTGTGGCTGCTTCGCAAGCAGGTTAGCAAAGAACCGGCAAGCTCAGGCTGAGGCTGAGCTGCTGGGAAGGAGCAGGGGATGGGGGCAGACCCGCATCGGGGCGAGCCAGCAGGACGGAGCCTTGGCTGAGGCTCCGACGGTGCTGAAGCATGTTCCTGCTTGGTGTCTGCTTAAGAAACCCGCTCGGTCCGCATGGACATGGCTTGTGGAGAATCCTTAACGGGGTACGTGACTGAAGGGACCAACGGGGGGGCAAGGCCAAGGTGGCGGGATGGGAAGACGTGGTCAAGGTCCCGTGGCCTGTGAAGGGACACGGCCGGAGGTGTGCCTACCCAAACGCACTGCGGGGGTGGAGAGCCACTGTGCTTCCGACAGGTGAGGGGGCGGTCCAGCCACTCAAGCCCCCTCGGCGTGATGGGCACTCGCCTCCTCCTGCCCTGCCGTGCCCGTCCCCGGTTCGAGCAGGCAGAAGCACACGTCCACCCACTCGGCCTCTTGCCCTGCCCTCTTGCTCCCTTGGGTGACTGGGGACCTTTTGGGCTCCAACTGTAGGCCCGTGAACGGTTCTAGCCATTTACTTTCTGAAGTTAAACTGGCTTTTTTTTCCTGAACTGGAGACATTGTCTTATTTCTGTAAATAGGACTTGCAGTCATTTCTAAACTTGAAGCTATCTTTGCACTTCATTTGCTTACCCTTTTTAATCTCCCCTTTGGTTAACCCTTAGCTGCCATTATATTTCAGTTCTAGAACTGGGTCCAGAATTTGAATTTGAGGTCTTTGACTCAGGGCAATGTTTTCATGATGGGTTACAGAACCGAAAGCAGTGAGTGGGGATCAGCCATGATTTCTCCCAGAGGAGGTACGTCAACAGGCAGGCCCGGAGGGGGGTGTCCGACACCTGTCAACATCCTTGCTCGTTCCCCTCTCGAACCAGCTGCCTGGAGGGAGAGCCAGAACCAGGAAGAGGAGAGGCTTCCTCACACGTCACAACCTTAAACCGTGGAGGGCAGGCGGCAATTGGCCACGGCGTTTGCCATTTCTCTGGTTCAAGCCTCTAGTAGGTCTCGGTTCCACTTTAATGCTTTGGGCCCTTCTTGCATTCGATGCCCTTCCTTTCCCTAGCAACAGCAGGATGCAACTTTAAATAGGTGATCTGCAGATACCTATTTTTAAAATGTATTTATCAAAGCCTTTGGCCGTCGGGCCTGAGGCCTCCTATACTCGAGGCTGGGAGCGGAAGCCTTCTCTTTCTCACTTCCCCAAAGATCTGCAGGTTCCGTCTAGACGTATTTTCAGCAGAAATCTGCACTGGAATTTCCCTTTGCAAAATCTAATAAATTTGGACTCCATTGCAAGGAGAGCCAAAGGGGTTGCTTTTGAATTTTCTTTCCATGTTGAAATGTGGCACCCGGGCTTCGGGAAGGACCATCCTTCAACTTAAGAATTTAAAATTCGGTGACTGCAACCATTATACAATCTCCCCATCACGAGGGAACATTTTGATTGTCCTGCCAGTGCATGTAAAGGACAGCACTAGATTATTTTTTTTAAAGAACTGGTTTGATATCATCTGCAGTTTTTATCTTCAAGGCATCCTTCCTCCTCTTTTCGCTTCTTCCTGGAGCAGGGACGGCACTTCCTAAGATGACACATACCCTAAAAACAGGGCACCGAACCTCCTGCATCCTGAAGGACAATAGGAAGTTTGGAGAAGCAACACCATTTTCGAGAACTGGTCCTTTTGCCAGTGCAGAAGCGCTGCCTGGGCACTTCTCTGCCAGAGGCATTTCTCATATGCTGACAATTCCTCACAGCTGGTTGTGAAGACTTTGTGTGACTGTGATTCCTAGGTCACACCACACTTGCAGCAAGCTTTTTTTTTTTTTTTGCAGAAATGAAAAGCCGTCATTTAATAGTGAGTGCCAAAGGAAGGGCAAATTCCTCTGGTGTATTTGTTCTGCCCCACCGTGCTACCTAGAGGTTGCTTAGCAGAACCTCTTTCAGTGACGTGCGATTTCTGTGATGCAGCCGATAAACAAAATCATGCAGAAGAGCTGTGATTAATCCACAAAAGCTAAAGTCCAGTACCTGGTTATTCAGAGTGGAGCCCCATTAAACCCAATGCGACTGACTTCTGAGAAAGTCCGTGTCCGGGATTACAATGTACAATTTCATTAACCGGGCATCTGTTTGTATCAAAAACAGTCATCGCTTCCTCCCACGCGATCCCCCTGGAGCAGCGAAAGACAACCCAGGTGCTCACCTGGTGTCCTGGGACAGGGCTCCCCAGATCCCTGGCATTGACCACACCGGCTAGGGATGATGGGAGCTGTAGTCCCACACCACCAGGAGAGCACTGTTGGGAAAGGCTGCTCTTGGTGGCATTTGGCTGCCTCTTTCTCTACCTGCCGCCCCGCATTACCTGATTTTTGCTTTCCGCAAAGCCAGCTCCTCTTCGTTTCCAAAGTCGAGGGAGACATCCTCGGTGTCATCCGCTAACGCCTGGAAAAGACAAGGGCCAGCCCTGAAAGAGGCACCCCCCCTCCCCTGGGCACACGTGCAGAGCAGCCTGGGGGCCCACACCTGAGCATCCTCGCCTGCCTGCGCAAGAGACACGGCCGGGGGGTCTCCGCCTGCCTGCCTGCCTCGGCTGCTTTTTGGAACTCGGTGTCCGTGCCGGACGCCCCGGCATCGATCGGAGCAGACTCCCTGCTCTTCTCTCCACTGAGAACTAAAACACACGGGCACAGCAGCTTACCTCCCTCCAGGGCCTTATGGCTTGGGGCCCTGCAGGGCATTGGGGGCCCGCCAGTGTCCACACCCTGCATCCAGCCCTCTTCTTCTGGAGCTTGTGGGTGAGGAGGCCCCAAGAAGTCAGGTGCGGCTGGGGCATATCCAGCTGTTCCCCCCCCCCCCCGGGAGGCCTCACCTGTCCCCAGCGCACTCTCCCTTTCATGGTCACCCCACCAATTTATCCCCCCTGCTCCAGCTGCCTCCCGCCCCCTCCCTTCCTCCCAGGAGCATATGGGGCTCTCTCCATCACCCCATACAAGAGCCCAAGCCTCCTTCCATGACACAAAAAAGCAAAATGCTTCAAAGGAGGACCTTTCACTGCAAAGAGTCATGTGCTTTCTCCAGTTGGCAAAGTTCTCATGCAGAAAGCTGGGTAGTTCCCTTTTTCCAAAATAAAGCACGACCCACTGTAAACACATCAGCCGCAGAATGCCTCTAGCAAACCAGAGGCCCTGTTCCTCTTGCGGCCTGTTGCCGCGCTTTGGGCGGCAGGAATTCCCCGCTGGCACCTGCAGGCCCAGGAAGGGAAAGCAACCCTCGCATCTCCTCCCCGACACCCCCTTTTCCCCGCACCCCCAGCCCCACCCCTTCCCAGCCGCCTCATCCTTCACACAGGCATCCTGCAGCCCATAATACTCACCCCACCATTCAGGGCTCCCTCCCTCACCTGCTTCATCATCCGGCGAGTCCCTCCGCAGCGTTCGCCAGCTCTGCGGATGTGATGCTGCAGCCGCCACCCCCCCCCCCCGGGGCCTGGTCCGTTGTCATGGCGACCGCGGTCCGACTGATGCGGAGGGAGGCAGGCCGGCCAGGTTGGCCGAGGAGGCGCCCAGGTGCGAGGAGAAGCCCCAGGCTGCCATGCCGGGGGGGGGGGTCTTCTGGGGGCTCGGCGCAGGGTTTGGGACGAGCCCGTGGCTGGCAAGTGCTCGCTTCCTTTGTTTTCACAATTGCCCAAAGCCGATCCCAAAGCGACTTGCATCCTTCTGACAGCTTGCATTTGATCCCTTAAGACTCCTTGCCTGAAATTCACAATACAAAATAAGCGTGCATGAAAAAGTCTCCTTTTTTAATTAATACCCTCAACGAAAAGAGGAAACCGGCCTGCTGCGGAGCGGAAGCCTTCCCACCAGCCCAGCTTTTATTTGTGTCCCAAACAAGGGTGTCGTGTTCTTGAACTGGGGACCCGCCTCTGCCTTGTACTTCCACTCTCAGGCAAGGAATATTTATTTCAGTCTTCGCCGTTTGCCTCCTGTTTTGTGGCCAGCTCCACTTACCAGGATGTGCGCTCATCCGCACGTGCCTATGAACCCAACCAGGCTGGAGAACTAAGTGTATGAAACTCCCCAAAATCTGGCAGCCCCAAAACCCCCCTCCTGAGCCGCTGCAGTCCTTGCACTGCCGTCCAACCATCAATAAGGTGCGGCGATCTTCAGGTTTTTACACAACAGGGAGGAATTGCCCTCTGGCACTGAAACCCACATGGAATCGGCTGTGTTTATTCAAGATTTGGCACCAGATATGTCCAAATGTTTTTAAAGGTGTGGGGAGAGCTCCATTAGAGGAAGTTTTGCAAACCACAGTAAATCACATGACTTCGGAGAACTCTGATCCAGAATGCGACTAGTTCAGGACAAAGAACCCATGGAAATTGGCAGCCCTCCAGCACTGGAGAGTTTTGCCTGCCTGCTCCCAAGCGGCCCGTTTGAAAAGTAGCAATCATTAGTTGAAGCAGAGCAAGACATTTGCAGCGAGCCAGCTAGTATTTCTAACAGCTATTTTGCTGAGGTTTTTGCCGTGCTCCAAATTCATCCATCTTCCTCCACTGCTCTCTGGACCAGAAACTGCCAGTTAAACAGCTGGTTTAATGCACGCAGAGCCCTTTCTGCAGCTGGCTTATGTAGAATAAGTGAAGCGATGCTGGCTGGGGATGCTGGGCACTGCAGGAATCCTTTTTTCGAAACAAGCTCAGGATCGTGCTCCAAACGTCTTTCAGCAAAGCTGCAGGAACGGCCTTCCCGTCCCCTTCCGGAGCCTTCTGGAGAGACTCCACAGCGGTTGGAAACTGTGCCCTTCTCCTTTTAAAAATATTGTTTTAATATTTTTATGGACATCTAATATTAGCAGTTTTATCCGCAGCGCAACAATGGCAGCGAATTGAAAAGAAAAGGACGGGGAAAGCCACCGCCACCGCCTGCTCATGACTCTCATTCTTAACTGGAGACTGAAGACAGGTCTGGCAAGAAAACTCTCCTCGTCCCGCGGCACCCCGTGGGCCTTCTGCTTCGGATGTGTGTGGCGACTGCCGCGAGGACAGAGCTGGGCGGCCCAGTTGTGCTCCTGGGGGAGTGCTGGGCCCCCACAGCACTGGGCGCACGGCCACGGCTGCCCACTTGCTTGCCTCCTGGCTCAGGCTAGGGCCCAGCGCTCACCTGGGCATCTTAAGTGGCCACGGGCACGTTGCCAAGGCAGAGGGCAGAAGTCTGAGGGCAAACCTTCAAATGGAGGCTCAGTGGGGGCAAATGCTCTTACTGGCACGGGGCATGTTCTTGCGCTAATAAACGAGGGAAACTTTAAACTGAGCTCCCCAGTTTGCTCTTCTGCACGAGGCTGTCCTGCCGTTTCGCCCACATCGCAGAAGCCCCAGTGCGGCATGTGGGTCGGTCGCTTTCCGGCTTTTCCACTACGCAACCTCTAGCTGGCACTGCGGTGCAGCCAGATAGCGCAAAGACACGAATGAAGGAAGAGGTTTCTTTCTATTTTCTATGTAAATCCACTCTCCCTGCTCGCCAGAACGTTAGACATGCGGGTAAAGCTGGAGGCCGTGGCATCGTCCGAACAGCCCACCAGCACCTGCGAATAGGCAAAGGTGCAGCCCGGTAAATGTCCTGCCGGGATGCTCCAGGGGGCTTGCTGGTTGAGAGCGACCCACCCCCAGCGTGAAAGAAATATCTGCATCAGCCTCTGCGCTCTGCATGAGGAGACGGTCTGGTCCAGAGGTCCCGGGGTCCAAGACCCAGGAAGCATCCACCTGCCGTTAAGGGCCGTGCAGGCGGCATGACTCACTTTTAGCTGAACAAGCATTTAAAAAGTGGTTGAGCTCACTCAGAAGATGAATTCATACTTCAGCTTACTAAGAAAATATTGCGGATGTCTCCAAAATCCTTGGCGTGTTTGCTATGGTTTTCTTTTTTCACTTCATCTTTTTGGATGCCACAGCATGTTTTGTCTCGCAGATACATTTCATGTGCAAATCGTCCGGAGGGGTCGACGCGCTCGTGCTGCCAGAATGAATCTTTTCAAGGAGATCTTGCCAGGCGTTCGAGAAATCCTATCCGACGCGTCAGCCTCGCAGGTGGAGGTGTTGCTGAACCTGATGTGGGGAGAGGGCATCATATCTAAGGAGTACCAGCAGACGCTGCTCCACGAAGGAGACAGAGATGACTTGGCCAGAAAGATCTCCTTAACCCTTGTGGAGAAATGGGCCGTGCAGCTGAACTCTGCACCTCCGCTGCATCATTTACGGTTCTTTGGCAGCCACCGGGAAGACGCTGCGAGTGCCGTATCACTGAGGACTAGATGCTTGAGTGGTGAGCTTGCTTCATGTAATACCATCATCTGTACATTCAGCATTTTCAGTCTGTGTGGAGAGGGAGGAAACTTCGTAACACATCCATTCCTAGATCTTCGGTTCTTGGATTAGCACTTCTGAATGATGAAACTCTCAACAGAGAAGCCCAACTTCCCGTCCTTCGGCAGCCGAATCTGTGGCTGAAGGGAGCGTGGCACAGGGCGACGTGGCCGTTTGGGTGCCTTGCCCAGCCCCGGAATCATAATTTGAGGGAGGCGCTGTGCTTGGCCCCCACCCGGGTCGTGCAGAGCAGTGGGGTGGGGGGGGGTCTTTCATTTGGTTGCCCTTTGGGCTGTTTTTCTCCAAAGTGCTTACCATTGTTGCTGTTTTGTTTCTGCTTGGCTTGGAACTTTAATTAGGGTTTGGTGCTTTAATTAGGGTTCAGGGTTACTGGAGTACAACCTTTTGTTATATTGTGGGGTCCTTTGGCACCAGAGTCGTTGGGTGAATGAATAAATCCCCCAAGAGGAAACTCGAGGGAGATGACTATCGGCTCCTGGGTGCCATCGCAAGTGAGTTCCGTGTTTGTGCGTTGAGAGGGCCCCGATCCCAGGGTGAAACGCCGTGCCTGCCGCTGCCTCTGAGCTCTGCGGAGGAGAGTCGGGACAGGAGTCTGACCGGGAGCAGCTGCTTGGCAGTTCCTCAAGGAAACGCTCGGCCGAGTCAGAGGAGTTCCCCCAACTCCCATGCAGACTCGTCCCGTGTGACGGCTCTCCCTCGCCGTGCGTGGCGGCATCGCATCGCAGTGGAGCGCACAGCGCGGTGCTGCCCCCGAGGCCTCCGGCCAGACTTGGACTGCAACCGGCCAAAGCCTCCGCTGGCTTTGTCCCGGTCCACCCAAGCCAAAGACCTCGTAGCTCCAGATCTGCTATCTGCTTCTGCAAGAACCGGAGGCAGCGCAAGGGCTGATGGGCGTCCGCCCCAAGCGCCAGCCTCTCACCCAAGGAGGGCGCCTCTCCTTGGCGCCCCGCCTGGCCTGCTTGGCGTGCCAGGGGTCCTTGGCTCCACGGGATTGCGGGCGGAGGGGCCGTGGCATCCGGGGCGCCCTTGCTCGGGGCAGAAACGGGCTTCCACGCCTGGAGTGGTGTCTGCACCGTCCCGGCTCCTCGAAGCCTGAGGGCAAGGCCTTGACACAAGCAGGCACGCTTCCCCTTGGCGTGAAGGTGAGCAGAAGGAAGGGGCCGGTACGGCACAGCCAATTGAATGGAGCAGCTGGAAGGGGCGCGCGGGGCCAGGAGCAAGCGCCGGTGCTGCCAGTGCATTCAGACAGGCCTCCTGCTCCGCACCGGGTGCGTTTTCAGTACACGCTTCAAGGGGCAAAGTGAGGGGGCCTTGCAGGAGGTCTTGCGGCGATCCGGCTAGCCTGAGCAGCCACAGGATGGTTGCTCGGGGTTTGTTTTCTGGGCCCAGGGTCTGCAGAGCCACCTCCCACAGCCTGAAGCCGCCAGATGTTTCCAGCACATCCGGAGGCCCCAGCTGCTGACAAGCGCTCTCCGGAGGCCAAGATTAATTCTCTCCGGGGGGAACGTGCACGGGGGGCCCCCAGCCAATGTGAGGCGTGCTGCTGGAGGGGGGCACGCGGGCACTTGCCCGCTCCTGTGTATTCTAGGGGAATTCCAGGGGCCGCTCTGCTGCTGCCTGGCGAGTGCCCGCCTGCTTTGGACCCAAGTGTGTGACTCGGAAAGTGAAACCAGCGGAGGGGCGGCCAGGTTTCACTTCTGGCACAAGCCGCGTGGCAGTGGGGCGAGATCAGCCCGCTCGTGTTCTGCGGGATGCTTCTTCCCTGGGGTGGGCGTGTGGGGCTCTGGCCAGGACGATGGGGAGCGGGCAGCTTTGGAAGGCTTTGCCGGGCACCCGGAGGACCTGGTGACTCAGCAGGTGGCGGCCGGTGAAGCGAGCGCAAAGGCAGGGGAAGGCGAGGCGTTGCTGGGCTTTGCTCCTGGCTCCGGTTAGCGCTGTGATCGTTCCTCGGGCAACAGGGAATTTCCTCTCCCCTCTCCTCACTCCCCGGGATTCCCCAGGGCTGCACCTGCCTCCGCCCTGCCCTCAAATGGGCACCGGCTGCATCGAGGGTTTCCTGCCGGCGTCAGGATGGCTTGCGGCCGCGAACGCTGCATCCTGCAGATCGCAGGGGAGTCTCAGCACGCCGCCCAAGGTCAGTTCTCTCCCCGCTCACCCTGCTGGGCTCTCCTTTGGCACGCTCCCCATTTCCCCCCTGCCCGCTCTCTCTGGGGCACGCTCCCTGCTTTCCCCCTGCCCGTTTCTCCCCGATCCCCACTCCTGCGGGGCAGGCCGCCCGCCTGCCGCCCATGTGGGCATGTCCGGGCCGTGCTGCGCTCGCGCCATTCCTGTCCCCGCTCCCACTCCTGCCCGTCTAGGCAGTGCAGCCTTCCTGGAAGTGTTTGAGCCGCAGCTTGTTGGCATCCCCAGAAGCCGGCAGGGAGGGTGGGGGTGGCGGCCCCACACGCCTAGAAGGGGCCTAGAAGCCCCGCATGCCTGTTTCGCCGTTTGGACCGGACCCTGGTCAGCTGCTGCCTGTTCGAGCCCGTTTTGCCCCGGGGAGAAGGCGAGTGTCGTGAGAGCCAGTGCGGTTACGAGGGTGGGACTGGGGGTCGGGCAGCCCGAGTTCAAGCCCCCACTCAGCCGGGGGGTCAACGGGGTGATCTGGGGCCAGGCACCGGCTTTCCACCAGCCTCCCTCACAGGGTGCTGGTTGTGAGGATAAGAGTGAGGACGAGGAGGACGGTGTGAGCTGCTCTGAGCCCTTTGCAAGAGAAACGGTGGGATATAAATCTAATAAAGGGCGTGCGATGCCCGAGACTTTGCTCTATTTCCTCCCTAGACTCTAGAAATTAATCTCCCAGCGGGGACAGGAGGCATTTGCCGTCTGCCGGCGCCAGTGTCGGTTGCTCAGTTTGTTGTCCTTCCGCCTTCGGCTCCCGCACTGCCCCGCGTCTGTCATGGGCGCGGGGGCAAGCGCTCATTGCCCCCGGGGCGCCTGCAGGGAAAGGGGTGCATGGGCTGCGGCGGCAGGGAATCCACCCCGGGCCGGGGCCGGGGCCGGGTGCCCGTTCTCCCGTGCATGCTCATTCTGCATTCAAATTCCACATGGGTGCAGGGGAATGGAGCCCCCCCTCGCCGAGGGAAATGCCTTTTCAAGCAGGAGGTGCAAGGCTAAAACCGTGGCTAAAATCGTGGGGATTGGGGTGGGGGCTGTGAGGCTGGGCAAGCCCCCAATCTCCCCCACTGGGGGGCTCGAGCCCCCCACTGCTGCTGGACCCCCCCCCCCCGGCAGCAGCGGGTGGCTCGGCTGACAGTAAGCCGCCGAGCCTTCCTGCAACACCATGCAAGTGGCAGGACCGAAACCTCCCTGCAGAGACACTGAGCACATCTGGCCGAGGCAGGCGCAGGGGGTGCTGGGGGAGCTGCGGCTGGCGTGGCCCTGGAGGGGCATTCCGGAGCCCACCGCTGCGTTCCAGTTTTTACTCGCCGTTAAGCGCCCCGGCCCCTCTCGCAGTGCTTCAAAGCCCTCTGTCTCTCGGCGGCGGCTTGTCAGCTTCGTCCCCCTCATTCAGTCACGCAGTTCAGCGCGTTCAAGATTTAGTTTTTGGCTCCTCCGTGCTCATCCTCTGCACCCAGGCCGCGCGCTAAATCCAGAAGCCCCTCCTGCCTCCCAGCACCCTTGGCCTCCGAAAAGCAGCCGCAGAACACCCCACGCCCGCCGGAGGAAGAAGCCAGAGCAGGACCTGGAAGTGGCCTGCAGTTTGCTCTTGTCATGAGATTATTCCCCTGCCCTGCCTTCTGAAGGGGCTATTTCCACTCCCCACCCGCTGGTGGCAGCCATCTGACGAGCCCGCGAGAAAGAGGCAGGTTGCGGAAGAGCCACAAGCCCAGGATTGCTCAGTGGACGTCACAACTGCACCGCGAAGGCGGATCGACTCACTGAAGCACGTGGAGCAGACCACCTCCCCTCCGCCAGCCCCAGGGGGGCCCTTCTCCTTGCATCTGCCACCTGTGAGGGCAGTCAGCCAGGTGGGCGACTGCAGGTGGCCCACACCACTGGAACAAGGTGCCGCAGGTGGCCCGGCATGCCCTTCAGGAGGCCAAGGGGACCTATTCAAGCATATCTCGAAAACTCTGCCCTTCCTTGAAGGGTTAATCTTCCTCCTGATTCTTGTTTGCTGGTTTCACTTTTACTGCATTGAACGTCTCTATTGCTGTCATGCAGCAACCGTGAGGGAAGCCAGGAAAGTCTTAACCGTGAGAAATGAATGGATCGTGTCCTTTCCCGTGCTTCGTGCCTGACTCATGCGACTGTGTTGTGTCGCTTTCTGCAAAGTAGGGCGGCATTGTTCATGCGCTTTTGCAGACGAGGGGGCGTGGGCCCACATGGCTCCCTTGGGCATGGCTGGGGCCGCTTCGCCAAAGCCGCTGGGCTCGCTTCCTGGTGTGGTCACCAGGCCCTCTGCCTCTCCAGGCCCTCCTTTTATCAGCTTCCGATTCGCCTGTGAGGCACAGCAGAGCCCCCGCCTCCAGCACGCTCTTCCATCCAGAGCACCTGTGGACACCCAGCTGGCACTTGCAGGGCAGCTGGCTCCTCTCCAGCCAGCTTATCAGTTTATGTAGAAAACGGGAGTGGCTTTAGTGCTTGGTAGCTCCCAGCCTCACCTCTGCCTCGTGATGGGGTTTCAGTTTCCCGTTGCTCCACAATTTGCAGCTGCTCCCCCCAACTGTAAATCGGAGCGTAAGGCCGCATGTACGCAGCAAAGCAGACTGCATCAGAAGGCTACGGTAAAGGTCTCCAGACTCGCTCTGTGCATGCTCAGAAAGAGGAAAGGCCTACAATTCCCAGCGTGCTCCCAGAGTTGCATGGAGCTGCATGCAGCTTGATCAGTCTTCTAGTCAAGCATCGGATCAAAAGAGCAGGCCCATCGAAGAGCGTCCAGCATTCCTGCCATCTGGCCCACATGCAGCAGGAACCTCCCTGAGGGAGGAGCTGACTCCTTTTGGCTGCAATGAAGGAAAGGGATTCTCCTAATAGCTGCTAATCGAATGCCTCCTGCTGTCCTCCTCTTTCAAATCACAACACCAGCCCAGCTTGCCAGTTTAACATAATAAAAGCAGAAGTTAGAAGCCTCTTGCTCTGATCTTGGAAGGAGAAGAGCAGAGAAGATGAGCTCTCGACAGAGAGGAGGCAGCAGTGGCATGAAAACCAGCTGGGTTGCAGAAGGAGGACTGAGAGGTGGGTCTCCTCACCGCCCCTGCATCTCGCTGCGCCTTTTCCTACTAGAGCAGCTTTCTTCAGTCTAGAGGCCCTCCCGATCCGTTGGACTACAACTCCCATAATCCTCCTCCGACCCTCTCCCGTTCGTTGAGGGTTGGATGAAGGCTGCACGGTGGTGCCGCCAACCTGGGTACATCTGGCGGGGGCAGGCTGAGGGAGCTGCTCGGGACTACGGATGTGTGAATTGCCACCCTGCAAGTCCGTGTCACCTCGGGCCTCTTCGGAGCAGCTGTGTTCGCGGTGTGGGTGGCCAGAACCTGGCCCCTGGTCCTCATTTCCATTGCTCCAGGAATGGGTTAGCCCGCTTTTCAGAAGTTTTCCAAGTGGCTAATAGATACCAGGATGGGGACCCAAAGGTGGGCGCCCAAGGACGTTGAGACGTAGGTGTCATGACCACGGGAGGCCAGGTGAGGCACCAGTGGCTGAATCGGGGCCCTGGGGGTGTCGGAGGCCCCCGCTGACCTCTCCCTCGTGGGAGCCGCTTTGCTGGCCCGCTCTTGCCGCGGTGCTCATCCGTGCCTTCACCCTTGCCGATAAATTTCCGGCTTCAACCGAAGCAGGACGAACATGGCAGCTGCAGCCCCCCTCACCGCACAGGAAAGTAGGACGAGAATGACATGGCTGCAAAACCCACATCCTCATTCCAGGCGCCCACAGGATGGCATAAAGATTTCCAAGTCCCACAAGCCAAAGCAACGTGTCTTTCCAGTGGCTCTTGCTGCCCCCTCTCCCCCTCTCTAGGTATAAACACCTTTTTTCCTTTTTCAGTGGGGTGGCGGGATTCTCGCTTGTCCTTTGAGGTTGTAGATACCTTAATTAACTCGAGCTGAACCCCAAAAAGTCAAGGGTTTGCTTCTGAGCCTATTCATCGCATGCCTTGTTTATGAACATTTATATATACATTTTCATGGCAATCCCATATCAAAATGACAGCTTTCTCGTCCTCTTTTCTGTCATCCGAATGCGGGTCTGCGGTTTAACGTGCCTTTAGCATTGCTGGTGTGAAAAAGGCAGGGATTTCTGGCGCTCCGAGCTGCGCCTTACTCTCCAGGGCACGGGGAGGGTCCCGCTTCCCCCATTTCTTACCTTCGGCAGGTTTTGAGGGTGGCTTAGTAGACTGGTGTCGATCCTTCGCATGGGGAGGCGTCATATCTTGGAGAACTAAGTGGTGTGGGGGATGATTTTGATGCAGGGGTGTTCACTTGGAGAAACGGGGGGCCCGCGTGCCCGCTGCGGGTCTCTCTCGGCTCGGGATTAGGTCTCTGATGTGCTGAACCAGGCCCACAAGGGGCCCACGCGCTTAGCGCCTCGTGATCGGGCGCTCCAAGGCGGATGCGGAGCCCTGCCTGAGACACGGGCCGGGTGCCGAGACGCCCAGTGAGGCGAAGAGCAACCCGGCGCCCCTCCTCGTTCCGTGCAGGAAAAATGACCGGGCGGCATTGTAATTTTACTCCAGGCCTCCTGGTGGGAGCGACCCCCATTGTCTGGAGGGTCGGGGGTGGGCCAGGAGTGCAGGCGCTGCGTCCCCCGCAGGTTGCCCCCCGTAGCATCGGCCGCCTGATGCAGCGGCCTCAGCCTGCCTCTTGCAACAGGCAGCCCCCGAGGAAGCCGCCCCCTTGCCTTTGCCCTTCAAGCCAACAGCCACGGGGATTGCACCCCCGCTCTTGAGACGTCTTCCAGCCGCACCTGGTCAATTTACCTGAGCGTGCGTGGCCACGGCTGCCACGAGGTCAGGGCTTGGGTCCTTGACCCCACCCGCAGCGGGGCCACCGTCAGCCCAGGCAGGGGCCTGCTGGCAGCCAGAGGGAAGGCACCCCCACGGCATGGCCAGTGGCAACCGGCAACCGGTTCCAGGCTCACGGTGCGGACACTCGAAGCTGGCCAGATCTTGGGTGGAGAGGTGGGGTTCCTTCAGTCAGCGCACCGGGCAGAACGAAAAAGGCCGGTGCAGTGCCAGTGCCTCTGCCTTCCACGTCTTTGGCTGCTGGTTCCCAGGCCCATCTTCCACGGTCGCTGTATCCGATGCAGCACCTCAGGTCTATTCAAGGCGGAAGGGCTTCCGCCTCCTTTGGGATCCGTGCTACGAGTGGACAAGCCAAGAGGACCAGTTTGTGGAACAGGAACGGGAGGCGCTGGAGCTGGAGGGGAAGGGAGACGCAGGCAGGCAGGGGATGAGTGGGCGGAACGGTGTGCCTTGCTTTGGTTTTTTGACAATGAAAACGTCGCCTTCGGCGTGCGGGGCGCGTTCTGGGCCGGATCCTCCTCGGCAGCTGTTTCCAGGGCTGCAGTCCAGCGGCCGGCATGGCTGAAGCCACAGGGCTGAGAACATCTTTCGAGGGGATGACCGGGACAGAGCACAGGCCTTCTTGGTTCTTTTACATTTCTCCCCAAAGCGGAAACGCCTCTCGAAGTAATGCTCACGGGCTGCGGTACTGAAAACGATGGCGGCAGCCCAGATGGTCTCAAGCCAGACTCAGGCCGCGCCTCTCGCAGCTGCCCGTCCGCTTTGGCCCCTTTCTCGTGCGGCGCGAAAACGTCTTTGCTTCCTTTGACCCTGTCTCAGAGTGCGCCATGGATGCTGGGAAGAGCTGCCCGGAGCTGCTGAAGAGCGACCTGGACCCTTCCGTCCTCTTGGAGCAAATCGGAGAGGCCGCCGCGCTCGCCACAGGTGCCTATCATGGTGGAAGGCCTCTTCCACTTGCGCTTGGCAGGGACGGGCGGGGTGGCTCCCGGGCAGCGTCCCGCCTGCCCCAGCGGGCGATGGGGTGGACGCAGCTGCTCGGCACTCGCCGGCCCAAGGCGGCCCGCTTCTCCTGCCGGACTGCCGAGGGTGGCAGGTGGCCCAGGAGAGGGCGAGCCCTTGGGGCGGGATTTGAGCGGGGGACCAGGCGCCTCCGCTGGCCCCCATCTCGCGCCTGCCGCTTGCTGGCCCGTGCCTGGGCCCCCCGCCCGCTCTGTGGGACTGTTTTTTCCCCCACGGGAAAAGTAGGGAGACAAGAAAGGGCTGCACGGGAGGGTCTCGTAGGGGCCGGGGCCAGCCAGGGGGCGCTGCCACCCGAGGCCCTGGTCTGGCACGTGCCGCAGCCGTGCCCCAAAAGTGGGGACCGTTCCACAGAGCAGAGTCTCCGCGCCCCCTTCCGTGGGGGCCGAGCGTGCCGGAAGGACAGGCGGCTGCGGCGTTTGCGCTGACATGCCTGGCTGCACGTGTGTACAGGCGGCGTGGGGAGGGGTGCTGTTTTGGAAGCGGGACAGGAAGAGGCTGGGTGGAGGAGGGTCTGCGCATCGGCAGCCAAGCAGATGGGCAGCCCGTGGCGCTCTTCTGTTTCCCCCCGGTGGTTTCCTCCCTTCCGCCCCCGGCCCAGGCACGAGCAGCCACGTGGCCCCCGCCCCCTCCCCGTGCAAGCGGCGCCCGGTCCCGCTGCTTTCCCTGGGGCCGGGCAGAAGGACCCCGGTGCGGATCCAGCCAGGCCCAGAGCGACGGATGGAGGCCAGTGCTCTCAAGCGCCACTGGGGGCCCCAGGAGCGTGCCGGGATGCGAAGTGGAGGTGTTTGTCTCACCAGCCCACGGGGGGGCCTCTCAGGGGGCTGTTCTTGACGGACTCTACACGGCTTTCCCACGGGGAGCCTCCGCTGTATCCTGCTAGTGCTCACAGGGAGGTGTTTGAACCCATGGCACCTTCTTCCTTAAAGCCCCCCCCCCCCCCCCAAGATCCCTGTGCTTGGCATCATGGTGAGCTCTGGGCTTCCCACACAGTCACCTTCTGCCTTTTTCCTGGGGTGACCCAGCACCGCGGGCCCCTCCCGCCCCCAGAGAGAGTCCTGGGGCGCAGTCTTCGCCAGCGGTGGCTCTGGGCAGGGCATTCGCTCGGGGACTGGGGCAAAGCGTGACGGAGCGTCCTTTGGCCCTCGGCGGGGGCCCTGAAACTTCTGCACCCCTGCAAACCATGGGGGCCCTGAAGGAACGAAGCCGCCGCTTCAGCCCCCCGTCTCCTTCCCTCTAGAGCACACGGCCACCCTGATCAGCGAGGACGCGGACGTCTTTTACACCGTGGAAAGCGATGAGAGCGGACAGGAGATCTGCCACTGGTCGGATATGGGGGAGGCGTATGACAAAATCGGTGGGTGGCTTGGACCCCAGGATGGTTCAGCGACGGGCTCAGGCCCTGCGGGATCCGCGTAAACCTTTGCTGGGAAAGGCTGCACAGAGGCGCCTTTGTGACGGTTCATCCGAGCCGGGCTCCCCTTTGTTCCCTGCGAGGCTGCGCCAGTGCCTTGTTTCTCAGCCGGCTTTTCCGCCCGGGCAACTGAGGCACCGGAAGGGCAGCCTGAGCATGAAGCCCCTGGCGGTCGCGCCGAACAGCGTCGAAGCACATGGGGCCACAGGAGCGACGCTTGTCGGGGGAGCGGCTCCGAGGCCACGGACGGGGCCCGATCCCTTGAGCGAGTGGCCCCGCTCCTGTGCCGGAAGGACCCCTGCCGCCGGTTCTCACGCTGCCCTCCCTCCCGCCCTTTCTCTCTAGCTGTCCTGGCCGAATACGTACTGGAGGACCAGCAGGAGAAGCCCGTGGAAGAGTTTTTTGGTAAGCTCCAGGCCCAGGGTGGAACTGGGAGCCCTGCGCCAGGCGGGGAGGGTCGGGGGCAAGAGAGCGGCTGGGCAGATCGGACGACTCCGTTTCTTCTCCGGCCTTCGGGGGCTCTTTCACTTTGCAGCTGGAAGCGCCTTGCAGACAGAGACAGCCCTGGCTGGTCTTGTTGTTTTGGTGCTGTTACGCTGCAAATCTGTACTTTCGATTACGCTCGAAAAATAAGAAACGCAGCACAACACGCTGGCGGGGGCTGTCGCGTCCGCTTCCGACACAGGTCTGCCTGTCGGAGAGGAGGCTGCACCCTTTGGATGGCGGCCTCCTCCGGCCCCCGCTCGAGCAAGGCTTGCTTCACCTCCGGGGGGTCTCTGCCGTCTTTTTGCAGGCCCATGTTTAGGTCCAGAAATTAACGCCTCTCTCTCCTTCCCCTTTTTGCGAACAACCAAAAAGACACCCTCGCTCCCGCGGAGGAGGCTGCTGGATGCACAGAAGGCTGCCCAGAGGCAAAGAGGCGGTGTAAGTAAAGGGCCGGGGCTTGTGCTCCCAGAGAGGTCGTGGCCATCCGGCCGGTGACCCGTTTTCTGTCAAATACTTGGACATCTTCGCACCAGAAACCGGGGCCTCGGGCCGGGAGTCAGCACAGCCGGGAAGCCTTCCGTGAGGGAGGCCAGGACTGTGCAGGGTCCGGCCGCTGTTCAAATGCCCGGCCCGTGACCTTGCTCGCCTTCCTTTTCTCCGCAGGCAGCTGCTCCGATTCCCCGGAGCCCAAGCGCAGAAAGCTCGGTGAGTGGGCCCGCGCGGCTAGTCGCCCTGCAGGCCGGATCCCTCCTGGGCTACCTGCTACAAGAGAGCAGGCTAGGCGGCTTCTCTCACAACGAGGGCACCCCAAATCCGCTCTAGCACAGCTCTTCTCCTTTATCCTCGCATCTTTCTCTTTCCTAACGAGATGGCTGGTCTCTTCCTGCACTTGGGGTGAAACGAGTCTCCGACTTTCCCTTTTACATCCCTTTGCGCTTTTCACTTCCTCAAGGGGGGGAAGTTTGTAGAACGACCTTATCCTGGGACGGTATTTATGCTGCACCTGCTTCCCAGTCTAGCCAGGGGCTTCAGGGCGCTGAGCTACTCGGCAGTGTGGCAAAAAGAGGCCATGAAATTATTTTCTTGTGGGGAGAGAATATTGGAGTGTCACGATTCTTCTTGTCATGTATTTTACTTATTTTAAGAAGTCTATATTGCTGCTTCACCCGAGGGCTGGGCGTCGGGGGATTCCCAGTTGAGGTGAAAATAAAATATTTGGTTCAAGAGAAAAAAGCAGCATGAACCAAGCAGGGTGCCACAAAAGCTTTTTAAGGGTTCAGTCTTCAGTGTAGACAGGGGAGAGAATTGGACCTCTCCCGGGATGCTCCAGCCAGCTGCGCAGGGAGTTTCGGGGCTTTTTTCTGTCTAAACTTGCCCTGGATTGTACCCTAAACCAGCTGAAGCATCTAAAGTTCAAATGCTTGGTCTTAAAAAGAGATTTTAGCCTAGTACCTGAAAGAAGCCGAGCCGACGCCTGGCCCACCCCCCATTGGAGGGAGGGTCTTCCAGGGTCGGGGCTGGCTAGTTGAAAATGTCCCAGTGAGTCCTCCCTGCGGAGTAAGGAAGGATCCCACCAGAGGGCTTTTCTCCAGACCTTGCCCAAGTGGAGGGGGGAGCCACTAGCTTTGTTCTTTGAGCCATCGTTCCTCCAGGCGGGGGCCCGGAGGCCGCCTGCTCCGGCTCCGGCTCCGGCTCCGGCGTCAACGCCTGGCGTCACGTGCCGCCCGTCTCTCCCGTCGCCTCCTGCAGCGCATCCCCCGGCCCTGTGCATCCTGAACGGCGGGTCCGTGGCCCTGGTGCTGGAGGGCTGCCCCGAAGACGCTGACGCTCACCCCAACCTGCACGTGGAACTCTCCGTGACCACCGTCAGTCCTGTGGGAAGGCCCACGAAGGCGTTCGGTAGGCAAGGGCGTGCCAGGAAGGGCCCCGCTTCGGGGCGGCCCCGTGCCCACAGCTCCTCCGGGCCCCGTGTGCCACGGCTGTGGAGCCCGATGGCGTCCCGTGGGGGTGCCTGAGAAAGGCGGGGCGCCCCAAGACGAGACACAGCTGGAGAGCAGCCCCTCTCTCTGCTCCCCCCTCCTGTCCAGGGCCCCCTCCCGGGCTTTACCTGGAGTACCGTCTCCCTGTCGTGGAAGATATTCAGGTGATTGTGGCCTTTGAGCCTGCCGCCGAGCCCCCGAACTTGCCCGAAGAGCCCGGAGCGGTCTGGCCCAGCCTCTGTCCAGGTGAGTGTCCGGCGTCCCGTCCCGCTGTGGACGCCCTCGACCCTGCGTCCGTGTCCGGGAGTCGATCTCACTGTGGTCGAGGGGGCTTGTTCCCCAGTGAGGATGTGCAGGCGAGCGTGCTCAGCCCGGGCGGTTCCGGAGCGGGACCATTTGGGGCTTCATCCTGGCCTTGCAGAGGCGCCGCAGGGCAGCCGTACTGGCATGGGGGCTTTTGCCGCCTGCCCCCGGCGCATCCTCGACCCGGGCCTTTCGCAGAACTCCCCCCGCCCAGCAGCAGGGGCCACGGGGGGCCGGGGGCAGGGGACCCCTTTGGCATGGGCCGGCGTGGGGGGAGGCGTTGCTGCTGTTCAAGAGAAACCCGCAAGCGCACACACGTGCACAAACCCGCACGGACATCTCTCCTAGAATGTTTTTGGAAGAATCTTTTCGCCCCGGAGGAGTTTCAGCCCCGCTTTGTCCAGGCCGCTACCGCCCCCTGGTGCTTCGCTGCTGCGACTGCACGGCGGCTTGTCCTGGGAGCCAGTCGGGATGGGACCGCTGGCCGGGTGGGTTCTGGGCCAGGCCAGGCGGGGTCTTCCAGCCGCCCCCCTTGAGCGGGACCCCGCAAACCGCCGCACTTCGCCCGTCGCGGCCATCGTTGGGTTCGAGGCGGGCTTGCCAGATCGCAGCGTCCAGGATGGGAGGCAGCAGTGGCTCCCCCAGACGCCGGCCTGCAGGGCGGATGGTGGCGAGGGGGCCAGGCGGACGGGGCCAGCGCCCGGGCGTCGATGCCACCGCCCCCCGGAGCTGGCACTGCCTGCGCAGATGGGCAGTGGCTTCCTGGTGGGATCCTTTCCCGGCCGCCTCCACCACGCGGAGATGCCCCTGCGGAGCGAACACGGGCCCTTCCGCAAAGCAGGCGGCGGCTGCCCTGCCTGGACGCCCTCTGCCCCTCCCGGGGGCGCCCCCACTCACCGCTGGGGGCGGGCGCACAGGGCTGCTCTCTTTCAGCGCTGCGCTTCTCTCTCCGCAGGCGAAGAAGCCCCCGGCAAAGAGGGCCAGCCCGTCTGTTCTCAGCCGGCTTGCAAGAGACTCGGTGAGTGGCGATGCTCTTTAAAGGCCCACTTCTTGGTGAGGACTAGAATGATGCTCAGAGCTTCTGCAGAAAGAGGCAGGGCGCCTCCTAGCAGCCTCGGTAGGCTTCAGGGCTGTACCACCCGGACCGGCTTTCTCCCTGCCCTGGGTTCGCAGCTGCGGATCGGTCCCTTTCCAGCCCTGCTCCGGTCTCCTGGGATTAAACAGCATGTTAGCAAAGCTGCCACAGCAACCCGGGCCGGTGCAAACCCAGGAAGCGCCCCAAGTCCCCCGGGCAGCAGCCCAAGCCACGGCTAGCCCAGCCCATCAGCCCTGCCCGGGGCTCCTTCGCGCTCCCCACCCCGCACCCCTTCCTCGCTTCCTTGTGTGTTGATCAGGCAGGCAAGATTTGCTTTGCTTTGCTTTGCTTCGCTTCGCCCAGTGAGCCTTTTGGGTTGCACAGCAGGACACCAACACTTTAAATGAACAAACAAAGCCTTGCGATAAGGAGCAAATACAGAGCCCTGCCCCAAGGAGCTTGCAATCTGGAGCCTGCCGGCAGGAGACAGCAGGGAGAGGAGGGCCTCGCCGCAGCGTGCGTGTCGGCTGCAGGCGGAGCCGCGGGACTCGCTCTCCGGGAAGCGGCTCCGGGACCGGACACGCTGCAGAGCCGACGGCGCCACCGCATGACCCTGTGGGACGGTGCCCCCCTGCCTCAACCACATGGGAATTCCGTGGGGCCCGAGCAAGGAGGAGGGCCTCCCGTGCTTTCTGCAGGAAAGCCGGGGTTCTGCACCCGTGCGCCTTCCTTACCCGCCCCGCCTGGGGCTCCCCCCTCTCTTCCAGAGTCCGTGGACGCCTTTTGCACGCGGCTCAGGCGCCACGTCCGGGCCTCGTGCGGCACGGTGCCCGAGGCGCGAGGGCTGCCCCTGGACCGCCTCTACGTGGAGGGCGAGCTGGTGCAGTGCCCCCCGGAGGGCTGGAGCGGCAGGAGCACCGGCGAGCCGGAGGAGAGGGCGAGGGCCGCCGTGGGGCACGGCCAGCTGCTCCGGGCGCCGGGCCGGAGCAGCCCGGCCAGCAGGGTGGCCGTGCTCCTGGGCCGGGCGGGCCTGGGGAAGAGCCTGCTGGCCCAGAAGATCTGCCTGGACTGGGCGGTCGGCAAGCTGCCGCAGTTCGACTTCGCCTTCCGGTTCGACTGCCGGGCGCTGAGCCTGCTCCGCGGCGGCGGCTGCCCCGGCCTCGGGCAGCTGCTGGGGCTCGCCGCAGGGCTCGGGGAGGTCCCCGAGGAGGTCGTGGGCCACGTCTCGCGGAACCCGGGCAAGGCGCTCCTGGTTTTCGACAGCCTCGAGGAGCTGCTGGAGCAGGACGGCCTCCCGCCGGGTGCGGACGGCCCGGCCCGCAGGGAGCCCTGCGGCGGCGTCAGAGCGATGGTGGCCGGCCTCTTCCAGAAGAAGCTGCTGGCCGGCTGCACGCTGCTGGCCACGGCCCGGCCCCGGGACAAGCTGCACCAGTATGTGCCCCGGGTGGACACCCTCCTGGAGACGCCGGGCTTTTCCGTGCCGCAGGCGGAGTCCTTCCTCGCTCGCTATTTCGAGGGATGCCCCGGGGGCAGCGAGGCCGCGAGCTCGATCAGAAACTCTCCGTACCTGTTCAGCCACTGCCACAACCCTGAGCTCTGCCGCTTCCTCTGCGAGTCGGCCTCCGCGGTGGGGGCTGAGCAGCTGCCCCCCACCCTCACCGGCCTCTTTGCGAAGTCCCTGCTCCGGAAACTGGCCCGCCTGGCCGAGAAGGAGGCCACCGCCACAGGGCACCTGCACATCCGCGCACTGGCTCAGGTGGCCTGGACCCTGGGGCAGGCCCAGCAGAACGCATTCCTGGGCGAGCGCTTCCCTTCGGCGGAGGTGGAGGCGTTTGCCCTGCAGGCCGGGCTCGTGGCCCCGCTGGCCCTGCCCAGAAGTGCCGGCGGCGGGGAGGAGGCGTGTGGGTACGTGTTCTCCAGCTTCGTGGCCCAGAACTTCTTGGTGGCGCTGCACCTGGTGCTGGCCAAGGAGGTCAAGGACAAAGGCCTCACCAAGCACCTCCACCTGCTCTCCAAGTCCAGGAAGTTTCTCTCCTCCTGGGACTTGGTCCCTCGCTTCCTGTCCGGCTTGCTCTTCCTCGAGGACGGTCCCAGCTGCGCTCTCCTCTTCGGGGAGGACATGGAGGTGGACACGGAGAAGATGGTTGCCAAGAAGCAGAAAAGCCTGCTGAAATACTTCCGGAAACTCTCGCTGAAATCCCTCAGTCCAGAGAAGCTGCTGGAGCTCCTCCACTGCATCCACGAAACGGAGAACCCATACCTGCTGCAGCACCTGGCGCTGGAGCTCGGCCCAGACCTCTCTTTCCTGGGCTTCCCCCTCACGCCCGCCGACGTCCACGTGCTGCACTCCGCCGTCAGACGGGCCACCAAGGCCTTCACCTTGGACCTGCGCGGGAGCTGCATCGACACCGAGGGCCTGAGGCGGCTGCTCTGCTTGAGGAACGTGGCCGCGTTCAGGTGCGCTGGGCTCCAGCCAGGCGCTGGGCCCCTTTGGGGCAGGAAGCCGGCCGGCCAGTGGCCCGAGGGGCAGAGGCAGGCGCCGGGCCAAGACGGGAGGAGCGCGGGCAGCACTCGAGTCCAGGCAGGCTGAGCCCAGGTGGGCAGGGCTTCCAGCCCGGGGACGGATCCAGGCCACCTGCAGTCAGGTGGACCTGGCCCTCCCTGGCCGCAGCCCTGTCCTTCAGCCACGGATCTCTCGGGGTTTCCTGGCTTTGTGCTGCCCCCACAAAGGTCGAAGTGCTCCTCTGGGGGAAGCTTTTGTCCCCGCCCCCGTGCGTGCTGGGGTGGGCAGCGCTGGGCAGGATTTTGCCCCAGCCTTTCCCTTTCCAAAGGGAATTTGGCTCCTGGCTGGAAGGGGCTGAAACCCTCCCCCAGGAGGGCAGAGCAGGGAGATGCCACGGGGCAGGGGCTGGGGTCCAGGGGGTGGAGCTGCTTGGGCGTCCGTCCCCCCCGCTGGGCACGAGCCTTGCAGGGGCTGTTCGGGCCGGGCCTCGAGCAGGGAGGCCACCCTGGTGGGGGGGGACCGTGGGGGCAGCCAGCCGGCTCCTTGCTGACCGACCGGTCTCTCCCTCAGGGCATCCCTCAGCACCGCCATCCAGCTCTGGAAGCACCTGTGGGAAGCCGGGGCAGGGGAGCAGCTGCGGGCGGCCACCCAGAAGTTTTCCGTTGCCCCTTTCAAAGTGAGCACTATGCGGGACGTCGAGGAGCTCTCTGCTCTCGTGCACCTGCAGGAGGAAATGCGCGAAGGGTACGTCCAGTGGGATGCCCCCCGGCACCGTGGGGCAGGGCACGGTTACCCAAGCGCGCTCTCGGCCGAGAGCTGCGGATGGCTCGCTGCCTGGGCGTGCGCAGGATCGCGCTCGAAATGCGCAGGCTGCATCCCGGCCCGTTTTCACTGGCCTCCTGACTCGCCCCCAAAGCCGTGCAAAGGGGCCGTCTGGCTCGGGATTTGCTTGTGATTCGGCTGGCAGCCAGGCGGGATGCGGGAGGCCGCCCCTGCGCTGGAGACGCTGCCCAGCCATGGTTCTGCCCTGCGGGGGAGGTAGGAGACGCGGGCAGCTGCAGCGGGCGGGGAGGCTGCTTCATGCCCAAGGCCCCCCCCCCCCGGCCAAGAGAGTCCACAGATTCCCTGCGGGGGCTGCAGAAGGGGCAGTGAACGAGGGAAGGGGCTGCCCCGCTCATCTGCCCAGCGGGCAAGAGCCGCCAGCAGGGAAGGGCAGCCTGGCCCCGCACGCCTCTCCCCACATGCGCTCCATGCCTCCCCCCCCCCCCGCAGAAGCCCCCTGGCGGAGGGACTGGCTCCAACCCGCCCCTCTTCCTTCAGCCAGGCAGAGCCGGCCGGCGGCAGCACCCTCCTCATTCCCGCGGTTGCAGAGCTCCGGAAACTGGAATTCGCGTAAGTAGCGGCCCCGCACCGGGAAGGGGACGGGGTCCTTGGGGGACCCGTCTGGCCGAGACGCCACCCGGCGCATCGCTGAGCTGCCCCTCAGGGCTGTGTTGCCGACCCCTGCACAGCCCCTGGGCGGGCGACGGGCGACGCGGGGGCTGTTCCGCCCACGCACCACCCCCGTCGCCCCCGGCCCGGCACCCTCCTGGGCTCACTCAACCCCAGGGGGCTGCCTCGGCGTGGGAGCCAGGCCCCCGGCTGGGTTCGCGGCGTGGGAGCGCCCTCGCGTTGCAGGGGGTCCGCGGGGGCCCGGCCGCGGGGCCCGGAGGCTGCGTGGAGCCGACCGGGCAACGCCTCCCCTTGTGCCCCGCAGCGTGGGCCCCGGCTGCGGCCCAAATGGCTTCCAGGCCCTGCTTGGACTCTTGGACGCCTTTCCAGCCCTTCGGCACTTAGAGTAAGTGATGGCGGGGCCGGGGGGGCTTTGGGGCAGCGCCACTGAATCCGGCACCGGCATCCACTGGGCTGCTGCCGGAGACCGGCCGGCCACTGCGACTCCGTCCCTGGCTCGGCGGCTTCCCAGAGGGTCCGGGTGGCCCCAGGCGCAGTTGCCGGGGAGACGCAGCCACCTCCCCGCCCGAGCCGGCCAACATGCCCGGCCCCCGCGTGGCTGGGCACCGCCGGCCTCTCGGCCCCCCCCCACCGCACGGTGACCTTGCGCCCTCTGTCGCAGCCTGGACTCTCCGGACGAGAACAACATCGGCGACGAAGGCGTCTGTGGGCTCGGCGCCATCCTGCCTCGGCTGCGCTGCCTGGAAACCCTCAAGTGAGTCGCCGGTGGTTCCTGGGCCAGCAGGAGGGGCAGCGGGGGGCGCTTCCCCGGACCCTCCAAGCGCGAGCAGCCAGCGCCCCCCACGCTCCGTGGGAGCCAGCAGCTCGCTCCCGCGGGACCCGGTCGGGCCGGGGGTCTTACCGGGCGGCCCCCTTGGGCACGTGCATGGCCTGGGGGGGCCGTGCCTGGGCCGGGACGCGCCCCTCACCCGCCCCCTCCATTGCTTCCAGCCTGTCCCGGAACAAGGTCACCGACATGGGTGCGGCGCAGCTGGCCGGGACGCTGCCCACCCTGCCCTCCCTGAAGACCCTCAGGTGAGCGGCACCTTCTCGCGCTCGGCCCCCTTGGGGGCTGAGCCCGGCGGCGCTGCCGTCAGCGGGATTGGAGCGGCTGGCCGGCACGAGGAAGTCGCCAGCCGCCCCCCGGGCCGCAGCTCACTCGCCTCCGCTTTCCGCAGCTTGTACAAGAACAACATCGGGGATGCTGGAGCCGCCGGTTTCGCCCAGGTGCTGCCCCGGGCGGCCTCTCTGCGGGTCCTGGAGTGAGTACGGCGAGGACTGGCGGGGGGGGAGGGGTTGGCGGCACTTGTGGCCGGGCACCGGCGTCAGGGGGCCCCTTCCCTGGCCAGCGGTGCTCGGATGAACGTGCCCTGCTGCCCTGGGCGCCCCCCAGCTGGGACGCATCTTGGGATCGGAACCGGGGATGCGGCGTCCATGGCAGGCCAGAGCAGACCGGGGTGGGGAAACAGCCACCCCCGCATCCTCCGAAGTATCACTCCGGGGCTCCCGCCAGCTCCTCCCCGCCGTGGCTCTCGAGCCGTTTTTCATTTTGAAAGGTGTGGGAGAGGAAAGTGCGCCCTTCGAATGAGTGTGTATGTGTGGGTAGGGGGGTGTTTCTGCCCATGTGTCTCAAAATGCATTTCTCACTTTTCCCCATCAATGAGAGTGTGAATGAGCGCGTTGGTTTAAAAAAATTGTGTTAAAATTGCATTTCTCAAAATGCACTCTCAAACGTGGGTGTTTGTGAACATTTCTTTTAAAAAAGTGTTCTGCTCATTGTCTCGGATTGCAAAGGGTGGCGTGTTCCCACGAATTGCAGACAGAAGCGAAATTGTCCTACAGAGCAAGTGGTCCGGGACCACAGTTTGGGGCTGGTGCCGCGGCAACCCTCCAAGCTCAGAAGGGAGCCAACTCCGGCGCGCCAGCCTCAAGGGACCTCCAAGGAGCCCTGGGGCTGGGGCTGGGCCTGGCCGGGGGCGGGGGGGCCATCCAGTCCACCGTTCTGTGCAGACAGTGGCCAGCCACCTGCTGTAGCATCCCACGAACAGGCCCAGAGGAGGACCCTCCTGCCCATGTTCCCCAGCAACTGGAGCACATGGGCAAACTCTCTCCGATCCTGGTGGTCTCCGGAGCTGTCGGACGTGGATGGGGCCCACCCGCTTTTGAAGCCCCAAACTGGTGGCCGCCACATCATCCTGCAAAAGGGCAGTCCGTGGTCCACCACGCCAAGAGGGCCCGGGCACGTCCCCAAGGAGCCCTGCAGCGCCGGTGGGGCAGCTGCCTGTCCCGGGAGGCCGAGAGGAAGCGAGCCGACTCTCCCCCCCCACCCCCCCCCACCTTCCCCCCCACCTCCTCCCCACGTGGGCCACATCTTCTAGGCCCCTTCCGTATGTGCCCCACCGCCAGCTAGCCTCCCCTGGGCGGGGGCCCCGGGCCGAGAGAGGGGTGTCAGCTCCCCGTTTCCTTTCAGCATCCACTGCAACAAGATCACGGCCGCTGGAGCCCAGCTCCTGACCACGAGCCTGAGGGACTCTCCGCACATTCAGAGCGTGGCGTAAGTCTCCTGTTCTCCGCGCCGCTCGCAGCCGGGTTGGCGGAGCCCCCGGGCCAGAGGTGGCCCACAGCCAGGCCTCTCCGCGTGTCAGGGTGGGGGGGGGGCTGCGACCCTGGGAAAAGGGCCCCCCCGCCACCCCGCTCACCCTCTCCTTGAGCCGAAGAACCAGCCCAGCCTTGAACGAGGGCCAGCCAGCGTTAGGACAGGCCACCCTTTCTTCACAAAACTCTGCTCTGCTTCTCACCCCCTTGATTGTGCCCGTTTTCTTCTACTTTTGGAAAAACCTTAGATTGTGGAGCCCCACGATCCCCCACGGAGTCCTGGATTACCTGCAGCAGCTGGATTCGCGGATCAGGTTGCTGTAGAGACGGAAAATCCAACGACCTAAGGTTGGGATTCTGGTCTATGCAGACCTCTCTGGGCCTGCATTGCAGAATCACCCCAGCTTTTACATTCACCTATGCTGCTATTTGTGGTATCCATGAAATGATGCGTTCCCCTGAAGTACCGTCTGTCATGGAATAGCCCTGTCGGTCTATTTGAATGCCACTACTTTCCTCCCGTGAAGATGAGCTCAAAATGTAGGACTGTGAGGCTGGAACTGTGCCCTCGATACCCCAAATACCCAGGCCAGACACACACGCTTGCGGCGGAGGATCGTATCGTACAGATTCGCTTCACTTGTTACTTGGACAATCCTGTGTCTGAACTCACTGATTTTGGCCCACTGTGCTTTGGGTCCTTCGAACAGCTTTTAAAAAAGCAAACTTTGGGTTAATTAAAAAGGCGTCCTGATTCATCAGGACAGATTTTGTAAATACTCATTGTAGTATTACTTTTAATGGTTATGTGAACTGAAAATAGGGAGCAGTGTTTCAGCCTTTTCTTTCAGCCACACGGCCGCTTCTTAAACAAGTCGCTCGTGAGCAACGGAAAACGTGGCGTCAGCTACCACCCCCTTGAGCAACTGGTGTAAGATGCCCCGAGCTGGGAGCAGCCCCGGCCTCAGCGCTGTCTCCAGCTGGGAGCAGGGATGGCCCTGGGATCTGGGTCCCCACGCAGGGCAGTCGGCTCCCGATTCCCGGGTTCTGCCGAGGGCCAACTTGGGCGGCCCGCCTGCACTCCTCCGACCGGCGGCCTGGGGGTTCCCGGTTTCCGCAGAGCCTTCAGCCAGGCCCCCCCGCCGGCGTCGCATCCGGCAGGAGCAGCCCTAGGGTGAAGCGAGCGCTGGCCTCTCTTGCGCTCAGCGTGCCTCACGTGTAGGATCGGCCCCGAGAGCTGCCCAGATTGGGCCGAAAGAGTTCCCAGCTGCTGAGCAAAGGAGGTCCTGCTCATCGGCCCCAGAGCGGTCTGTGGACAGGGCCAGCTTGGCCCTGGGGGGACGGGCGCAGTGGCATCGGACGGGCTTCCTCGGGGGTGTTGGCAGCACCCCCCAGCCTCTCACACAGTCTGCTGACCACAAGCACGGGGAAGGGGGCTGCCCCGTCAGCGGGGCCGGAGCAAGACTCAGCTGGCAGTCCAGCGGGTCCGTGGGGGCAGCACCACCCTGGCCAGCCCCACACGGGCTTGACACCCCCCGCCCCAGAACCGGGGTCCTTATTCTGGCTCTCGCTGTCCTTGATCTCGAGTGTCTCCTTTTGCAAGGGGCAATAGCACTCGCTTTTGCAAAGTATTTCTGGATTGCAGTTTCAGGAAAAAGGCACCCATTCTGACGGCTGTTGGTGCTCACGGCATTCTGGAACCAACACGGCATTCAGCCCCGCTGGGTCAGGCCCGAGGCCCAGGGTCTTGCCCCCACAGCCAGCAAGCGGCCGTCTGGGGAAAGCCCACCAGTAACCATGATCCTGGGGGCACGTGACTTCTGGTGGCCATCCCACGGCTGAAGCGGGCGGCCTGCCACAGACAGCGGGCCGATTCAAGTTCGGTCGCCCCTGCCAAACACGTCGGGCCACGTAACCCCTGGGCGCTGATGAACAAACTCCAACACACCCAGCCAGCAGACCTGCATACTTGGTGTATTTGAAATATTTATCAATATATTGCTTTTTACATTGTTTAGCTTAACAACTGCATTGGAATACTTTTCAAAATAACTTGTGGTACTCAATTAGCAAGACCCCCGTCTCTTCCAAAGTTACAAAAATACTTACAAAATCAATTCTTCTCCATGACATGGTGCGGCAAATACGATTCCCTGCCATTCTTCTTTAAATTTTTCTTCTTGAAAAGGCTACATTTCCAGGGCTAAGAAATGACTTTCTGAAGCATAAGGGGATCAGGGAAAAAATGGGAGTGTACCTGATTGATCGCTTATAAACAGCAAGGAGATTGTCAGTTGGGGTGGTGATGAGAGTAAAGCCCACACATTTGGAAAGCACACGCTCTGGAGCGAGTGCCTGGAGCCAGGAGTACTTTGGGGCACAAGGGAGAGAAGAGCTTGCTTCAACAGGATCCCACATCTGCCTCTCCCTACAGGTAGAAAGCTAGCATCTCAAGGCAGCGGCTCCTATAATGACACGAAAACTTTCCATGTGCAGAGAAACTTTTGGACATGGGGGAGGAATTAGACCACCACCACCTCCTCCTCCTGCATACACTGTGGGGTGGTGCTGGTGCACGAGGGCCGTGCCGAGCGAGGCACCGAGAATATCTGTGCGAGGGGGTGCTCCCGGTCCCTTTGCAACAGGGCAGGAGCTCCTAGCCTGCTGTGCAGCCGTCAGCCACATGCTGCAATGCTGCAAGAAAACCTAGGGATTTCACCACCGTTTTTGCAGCCCCCTGAAACTATGCTACCACACGGGGCTCCCCGAGCATCCGGACCTTCCTCTATTTCCCTGGAAGTCTGCAAAACGTGAGCAAGCAGCTTTGTTCAGCATGAGGAGCCGAGGGTGTTCGGCATGCTGGGAAGCCATTCTGGAATCTCAGCAAGTCCTGGCATTGTGCAAACAAAATTCCTGCAGCATCTTGGCAAAGCCCCTGAAAGCAACGGTGGGCAGGGCCGGCCACGTCCTGGGGCCGCGGGGCTCCGGGGGCTCCTTTCGCAGAGATGCGCATCCAGGCGTCTTCTCCCCGAGGCTGCGGCCCTCCTGCCTTTTTCACGTGTGCGACCAGCCCGGGCAAGTCTGCATCGAAAGAACGGGAAAGGAAAATGCACAGGAAGTGCTCTTGCGGAACGGCGTCTCCCCCATGGGGAAGAACGGCAGGCCGCGTCTCCGTGCGGAGCCGGGGCTTCTGACTGCGGCAGGTGGCCAGCAAACTCTGAGCCACGTAGCCCATTCTCCACATCCCGATGCCCTCCAAAGGGCTGACTGCAACTCCCACTGGCTGGCCGCTGGCGGTGCAGACTGTCATGCCCTGAAGGCACCAAGCAGCCTCTTCCTCTGGCCCGGACAGCGGAGGGAACCGCGGAGGCCGGCCCTGCCAGGGCCCAGCGCAGCCGCTCCAGGAGTGGGATCCAGCTGGGCTCCGCGGCTGCAGCTGGGGGGCTGAGTCGAGGGCACCCCCGAGCTCTCCCCGAGGCCAAGCAATCGATCGGTGCTTCTGTGCTGAGCCTTCCGAGGACGTGCAATATTTATGGATTCCTCGGCACAGCCGAGCCGAGCGCCAGAACCTGCCCTTGTGCTTTTTATGGCAGCCACAGCGCTGGTGTTGGGCCCAAGGCGCACCCTCCGGACTTTCTTCCTCCCGACGAGAGTATTTCTGCGAAGTCACAGCTGGAGCATTTTCCCACTGAAGAGGCAGGGCATGCGCACAAGCGCATCCAGCTGCTGGCACCCCAGGAAACGGTCTGCCCGCCACGCAAAGGAAGGGCCCTGTTGTGCCTGCCGACCCGGGAATGGCGCAGCCGTGGACTGCAGTGCCCACACGGCTCCCCAGCCTGGGCAGGCCGCTCTGTGCAGGCTCCGTCTGGAGGCTGCCAGCCGGAGCCCGGCTCCTCCACGGGCCCGTTCCAAGGCCGCCGCCGGCCCATGGTCCACAACTGCCTCCGCCTGGCTCACTGCGCAGAGCCGGCCCGAGGGGACGCTGCTTCTCCCAGCTCCCGCAGCTTTCCCCAGCAGGGTGCCCTCCAGACGCATGGGTCTACAGGCCAGTGGCCGTGCTGGCCGGGGCTGGGGCGAGGTGCAGGCCAGGCCCCCTACAAGAGGCCCAGTTCTGGGCAGCAGCCACCCCCCCCCACCTTGCAAGAGCAGCTCTCAAACCACGTGCTTCACCGACTGGGCTCGGCCAACACGGCAGCCCGCGCTCACGGGTGCCGCAGGGGCTGCCACGGACCTCGCCGCCACGCACGGGCTGCTGCATTGCCCGAGCCGAGCCAGGACAGCGAGCCGGGCTGAGCAAGCCGCAGCGCACAGCCCGACCAGGGGCCCTCCGCAGCCACCGGCAGCGCAATCGCCCACGTTTCCACGGCCCCCCATGAGAGCAGCCCAGGTCGTCGAGCCCGGCCACTGCCCCCTCCGAAAATTCGGCGGAGTGCCCCCGCCCACGCCCTTTATCCCCCCCCGGGGGCCTGGGGTCCGGCATCGGGGGGGGGGAGGCTGCTTCACAGGACACGGGATTGCTGGCCGCCCCCAGATGCGCTCCGGGCAGCCACTGCTTCAAGCAGCTGGGAGTGACGGATCCCGGGAAACGGGAACCGCCGCCTCGGCGAGGCCAAGCGGTGCTGGGGAGGGTCCCGGCGGCTCCGGGCCGGGGTCCGGGTAGGGCAGGAACCGCACGGGGGGAGCGTGCCCCGCCCCCCCTCCCTCCCGCCCTCCCGGGCGGCCCCGCTGGAGGGCTGCACGCACCTGAGCGCCCCGGCGCGGCGCCCCCGCACCCCCGCGGGCGCCGGCGCGGCGCTACTCCCAGTAGCCGTCCAGGGCCTCGGCCTCGCCGTCCGGGTCGGAGAGGCCCAGCGCCGGGTCCGAGAGCACGCCCAGGTCGGCCAGCGCCTGGTCCATGTCCTCGGGCAGCAGCACGATGCCCACGTTGAGCGCGATGTACTCCAGCAGGAAGGCGTAGTAGAGGATCAGCAGGTTGACGAAGAAGAGCCCCGCGTAGAGCAT